GCAGCTCCAGCAGGTTTTGGGTTCTAAACAGAGCTCTTCCCGGAGTGTCCTGTGTGGCCTTGGGAAAGTGACTTTCTGGTTCTGGGCATTTTTTTACCTTTGGCCTGTGTTGAAGGGCAGGATCCCTGACTTCTAAGGGCCCCGCCAGTTCTCAAACAGTGCGGGGGAGCACGCAGAGTCCTCCCTGGCTGGTGCACGGAGGGGTGGCTGCGATGCACATATCGGCCACAAGGTGGCGCCAAGGTAACGTCTGAAGATGCTGGCCGTGGCTGGCCGCCCTTGGATGAAGTTGGCTTTGCGGACTTGCTCACCTCGGGCTGTATCTGGGGATGAGGCCTTTCCTCCCTTGGCTCTCTTGGCCTGAGCTTCCTGCAGCCTCTACTCTGTAATACCATCCATTTCCCAGGTCTTATCCTCTCCATTAAGTGCTTTAACAGACGTCACCATGCTCCTGTGTGTCTTGTCCCCGGCTAGGGCTGTGCAGGGACAGCCCCGAGTGCTCACCCTGATGTGCAAGGCCAGTTCTAGGCACTGGGCAGGCACTGTCTTGGCCTGAGCGACAGCCCTGAGGATGGCATGCTCCCTGTAACACCCACGCCATAGATGGGGCTCAAAAAGCTGATGACTTACTAGGGTCTCGAGTCAGAGCTGCAGTTCGAACCTAACTAGGCTGACTCGAAAGCCTGTGGTTGGCACCCACTCAGCCATGGGCACAGGGAGAGGGGTATAAACTCCTGCCCACAGTGACGGTGGAGGCTGGAGAAGGAAGCAGGATGTCAGACTCCCTGGCAAGACAGAGAAGCCCTGCCCATTTTGGAAGGCAGCGCCCCTCAACTCCTTCCCATGGTTGCCCAGCAGGACTGGGGGTTGGATATTACTGGGAACCTGAAATTTTAGGTCAACTCTCCCAGTGTTTAAATGCTACATGTCCCCAAGATGAAAAGACAAAAACATCCTGATGAGAGCCCAAGAGAGCATGCCACAGAGCGTCGGCATTAAAAGAACCTAGGGAGGGCAGGCCCTGTGGCCCAGTGGTTATGGGAGCCAGATCTCACATGGCTAACCGTGGTTTGGATCCTGAACCTGGTGGCATGTAAAACACGTAGGGCGCATGTGTGTGCACGCCCCCAATCCTGACAGGTTGGAGAATGGAAGAGAAGGGAGTGTGGCATAACTACACCCCACTGGGTGGTTCTTTCTTTTTCTCCCTCTTGGTCTTTTTTTGGTGAATGCATCTATCCTCTGGCAAATTAAAAAGAAAAAAAAAGAAAAAGAGTCCGGGGGACTTAACCAGGCCTGACCCTTTTGTACACTAGGTGGGGAAACTGAGGCCCCGGAGGATCCAGGGCAGGGTCAGGGAACATTCTAGGCAGGCTGTTTCCTTCGCAGCCTGGGCAGGCTGTCTCTTTCCTCGACTGAAGTTCTAGGACTGAGGGGCTTGCCTGGGGATGGGCCAAGCTGGGTGTAGATGCCCTCCTAACTCCATGGCCAGCCCCCCGCCAGGCCAGCTCACAGCTCACAGCCCACAGCCCAGGCCTCAGGCCCCAGGCCCCAGGCCCGTGCCACACAGATCACATCTTCCACCCAAGCCTTCAGGCTCTGCAGTTGATTCCTTGGGCAGCAGAAGTTATTAAAGACTCTGCCCCTAAGGGTTTATCTCCCCCAGAGTGATCTTGGCACAGAAAATTACAAACCCACCTGCAAGGGTGGGGAGATGCAGTTTTAATTTGTTAAAAAAAAAAAGAGAGAGAGAAAAATAAAAGAGAGAGAGGAAAAAAAAAAAGAAACCTCATGCTGTGGCCCTGGCGTGTGTGTGTGACATAGGAGGGACTCCTCTGTGACAAGAAGCTCTGTTAAGGGGGGCTCCAGGAGTGGACAGGGCCAGTGTGTGTTGGGGGAGCACTGCTAGCTATTCTTACTCTCTCTTCTCCCCATC